ATCTTAGCTGTGGAGGGCAGTGTCACTGGCCCTCATATGTGGGATCCGAACCGGGGCCCTCTGGCATCCCAAGCCAGTTCTTAACCATCGAGCCACTCGGCCGGCCCCTTATATTTTATTTTAAAAGCTATCAAACATTTACTATGCAGCTTTAATAAGATCAGGTTTGCAACTGTATATTTGAAGGAGAAACCCAATAGACTGTAGGTTTTATGAACTTGTTGAATTTCTAGATGTGTGGGGAAGAGGGACGTGATCTGATGTGGAGGAAGCTGAGGAGCATGTGTGTGTTTCAGAAAGCGCACGGCAGTGTCAGTGTTCAGCAGGCACAAATGTAGGACCAGACGAGGCCGTCCAGTCCAGGCCGTGTCCAAAGGTGTCTGCAGGGCATGTCCCAGTCTCAGCAGTGTGAGTACCTGATGTTTGCAAGGACTGTGTTTTGGATGCAGAGTGGTCTGCACTGGTCTGAGGACATATGAAAGAGGAACACTGGCCCCTCCTTAGTGGCTGCTTTCACACCCACTTGCACAGGCTTTCAAGGTGAGGTAGTTACTTTGAGAGAAAAAAGTCCTTTGAAGTTCAGAGCTTAGTGTGGAAAGAAAAGGATGTTGACAGAACTTAGGGGCATCTGGCATGTGATACTTGTCTCTCCATTGTTTCTACAACTGTTGCATCTTCTTGCTAAACTGACACACAGATGGCAAAAAAGAGCTCTTTCCTTTAAAGGGAACATCCCAAGAAATGAGTAGGTGGGGCTGTGAAACACTGGTTCTTACTTAAATATGCCGGGAGCACACTGGAAAAGCCGGTGTCTAAAAAGATCAGTCTAAAAAATTGATGTAACTTAAAAAAATCAATTTCATGGAAGATAAACAATAGGATTTAAGACTTTGTTTTCAAATATTGATTTAATGTTGGAGTAGAGACATTAAGGCAAATTGATGTCTTGAAACCCCTGATGCAGTTAACATTTTAGGCATCGGTTTAGAAGTGAGTGTTTTCTTAATGAACATAGTAGCTAGCTCTCCAGCAGGCTTAGGATTCTGTTAACTGGTCTGCTGGGTGCTGAGCACACAGTGCTTCTCACCCAGCACAGCACCCTGTACACTGGGTATGTTTTCTCAGGACGGACTCTGTTCATCTGCTAGAGCACCGGTACCATTAAAGCCAGGTGTGTTAAATTTGTAATTTTTGTCAGTGGTACAAAATAGTGATGCATTTATGATTAGAGATTATAGAAGTATAAAAATTTCTTGGGCTGGCCGAGTGGCGCATTGATTAGGACTTGCTTGGGACGCCAGCTCTGAGCAGCAGGGCCCCAGTTCAGATTTCATATTAGGGCCAGTGACGCTGCCCTCTATAGCTAAGATGGTGAACAACAGCTCGACCTGGAGCTGGGCTGCCATGAGTTGCTGGCAACGGTGTAGGCTGCAGTGGGGCTGGCTGGCAGCTGGCGTGAGCTTTCATGAGCTGCTGTGAGCAGCCGTCCAATGGCCGGCGAGCAACTGCCTCACCCGGGAAGAGCGCAATGATAATACCAACATGGGCCAGTGAAGTGACGTCCTTCACAACTAGACTGAAAAACAAAAGGACAGCAACTTGTCTGTTCCCCTTCCCCCAATTCCCCAATAAAAATCTTAAAAAAAAAAAAATTTCCTAATGTTTATGTTACATAATGAATTTTTTCCACTGAGTAAATGAACGATAATATTATAAGCAAATGACTTGCCAATATTAATTATGTCCCCAGCAGGCAGCTTCGATTGTTATATTTAGTCCCCAACTTTAAGCCTTGTGTTAGGCCTTGAAGGAAAGGAGCATTCCCTGAAAAAGTAAATTTTGTTTCAAGTATTGATAAATAATATCATTTTACTCTGCTGTGTGCAATTTTAATAGTCTTTCAAAAATGGATTTTGGGCTCGTTGCTTTTTATAGCTTATTTTAGAAGCATGCTTCTGTCGTCACCAATGCCCAGTGGACCATGTTCTGGATGATTAGAAAGTAGACATAAAGAAAACCACGCTTTAATAAAAACATGCATGGTTTGTCTTCTCTCCCTCAGAAAGCTGATCTTATCCACCTCCACGAGGCCGTGGCTCTGGCTGTGTTGGACGTTGTCCCTCATGTGAGCGCAGCCTGCTGTGGGCATGGGGGCCTGCAGGTGGATGGGTTGTGGAGACTCCGCTTCTGACCTGAGTTTAAAGACAGTGGGGCAGGTGTGCAGGGGAGGGGTGTCAGGTGATTGAGGCAGTGGGCAAGTGGCATTGTAATAGCAGGTCTTGGGGTTGATTCGTCCTCTTGGCCGTGTTTTTGTGCATAGGAGGGAAATAAGCTTGTGACGTGAGTGCTGGAAGGGGTGCGCACCCGTCATGCTTATGAGTCTGCTGTGTATCTGAGCAGTGGTGGAGAGCCTCAGAAATTAGAGCACTTTCGAGTAACAAAGAGCCCTCCTGTGGTAAGCACAGCCAGTGAGCACGTTTGATTGAGTAGCAGTGTTTTATCTGTGCGAAGAGTTCCGTGGGACCCCTCAACTGGTTGGCGTGGGAAACGGTGACAGCGGCTCCATTTACTGCCGGCTTGTCCTTCTGCCATGAGTCTGCTACGAGGCCTTGTGATAGAGTTTTCGTTTTGCGTGAGGAACAGTGAAACAGCTACTGGTTATTTCAACTGTCTTTTTAAGTATATTTGGTTACAAACCATTTCTAGATTGATTTTGTGGAAACGTACATGTAGGTAATTTGGTCACTAATTTCTGTAGCTAATTATTTCTTTCCTTGTGTTTCAGATTTCTCTATGAATCGTCATCAAGAACTTTGGGGGCATTTTTGAATTCATAACCAAGCCAGCATCTCTGATCATGTAGAAATAGAGAAAAAGGACTTGCAGAAAATGAAATGAATGTGTATTTTCCTAGTGTTTTTAATGTTAATAGCCCATATAATAGAGAAGGGGCAGGATTTATTTGAGGGAGGTATGAGTAGGAAGCTCAAAGGTGGTTAAATTTTTCCCGGTGCCTACAAAGTAATATATTTAACGTAAAGGACTCCAGACATCAATGGTGCAGAAACCCATGGTGCAAAGAAAAAGAGACACCTTTCCAGCAAATCCGTTTGTTTTTAAAATGACTTTTATATATATAATGTGGCTTGCAAACTGAGTAATAAAGCCGTAGCAACATCTCCCTATACACTTTACTTCAATGTACTAGCCTGCGTTCTCCCCTGAGGGGCAGGGCTGAATTCTGGGGTACGCCTGTCTTCAACAGCAGAGGGTGCAGCCGTGCGGGCACAGGAAGGCCACATGTAGGATCCTGGATCCCTCTCTTCTGGCCTGGAGGCCGATTGCCTGGGTATGAGATGGGCCCGTGGCTGTAAGTACCAATAACACAGAGCCCAGTCACTCAGCTCAAATGGAACCCCTGTTACTTTAACTTTTCTCTCTGAGGCTGATGTGGTATGGACGGAGGACTGGCCCCAGGCTTCCTGGCTGCCTCATCCGGGCCCCATCTCGCCCACCTGGTTTACCAGGAGGTGTCTGCGTTCATCCCTGGTCCTGTTGGCCACCATCCTCAGTCATGGCCCGTCAGCATCCTGGGGCCTGGGAGGCCACCTTGTGACAGACGGGGAGGGATTGCCTCCATTGCATGCTCATTCTGTCCTCAGCCCCCAAGCAAAACAGCAAAGAAACGCCAGGTTTTCAGGGCCCCTGTTTCCCCAGGAAGGTACAGAAACAGACTGCTTCCTGCAGTTGCGCACCAGCCCTAGGGTAGCTGAGCAGAGGGAGCGAGGCTGCGTACTTTAGGTGCTTGTGAGCATGCGACTGCCGTGTTCTGTGGGCTGTGTAATGTGTCTCCCTGGTTCTGGGCCATGTTTGAATTAGCATCACGAGTAGCCGAGCCTCATGAAGTGGACTGAGGGGTGTCTTCCTGCACTCCTTGGGGATTTCTGTGAGGTCGGAAGTATTGCGTTGTCGGAAAAGTCATGATGTATTTTTTTCTATGTTTTTCATTGCAAAAATGCGTCGTGGCTTTTCCGACAACCCAATACTTCCGTGGGATGTTGTAGTATTCAGCTCTAAAACTGTATGAGCTTGGGGTTTTTTTTGTGTGGGAAGAGGTTAGTTTTTATAATTTATATATGAGTTGTTAAGGTGGTCAGGTTTTCTCTTTTTTGTCAGCCTTGAAGGGTGAAGTAATCCAATTTGTGAAGAAACACAGTTCAGTATTTATTGGGCCAAAATAGTTCATAAAGCCCCCCTGTGGGCATGCACCGTAGAACCCCTGGGAGTGTGCAGGGCAGACACAAGCACAACTGCTCAGGGTCCGCAGCAGCGACACGGGACCTGGAGTCCCTTCAGTGGGAGGGAGGGTGGGCAGGGCGCTGGGAACCCACCAGCTCCACGTTACCTGGGGGGCGGGGCACTCGGGCATGACAGCGAGGGAAACGCAGGTCCTAGGATGGTGTGACTCGCTTATTTCAAGTTTAAAAACGTGCGAAACAACACCAGTATAGTCATATGCTCAGTAAACACGGAAAAGATGAAAACAAAATCCAGAACCTGATTATGGGAGGGCAGCAGGGGAGAGCACGCAGGCTTCTGCTAAGGTAATGGTAGAAGTCTGTTCTTTAAACTAGAAATAGGTACTTGAGTGTCTGTTAGTCTCTGCCTTACATGTTATACATATTCGTTTGGATAGTCTTTAACAGAAGCTTAAACAAGCAGATTTGAGAAGAGAGAAAATGTACACACCTTTGAGGAAAGATGTACCATCAGCTTGGGGACGCCTGGACCCGGCGGTGATGTGAACACTCCTCCAGGCCAGCTCCTGGGGCGCAGAAGAGGCGGAGGCCACATGCAGTGAAGGTGCCGGAACTGCTGTGCAGACCATGGAAGGGGCTCACACAGGTGGACGTGCTGGTGTGGACAGTACGGAAGGCCACAAAACCCACTGCAGGGCCGTGTCCCATCAGAGGGCACACCACCCACAGCATCCACAAGTCGGCTCTGGGGTCAGGGTGGCTCCCCAGCTGACAGAAGGACAGGTCGTTATGGAACTGGGCTCTCTGATGGCCATGGAATTACAGGACCCTGCACAGCAGGACCAGCTGGTGGCACGTGAACCTGAGGCCGGTGGGTGCAGTGACTGAAGACCGCACGGCCAGGGGGCCTGTCCCTGCCCGGGCATTACGGAGGGTCCTGGATGCAGCAGACAGACCTGTGGGCAGCGAAGTCGGATCGGTCTATACCATCCAAGGAAGTCCAGGACAATGGCCAGAGGCTTCAGGGAAGCGGCCCCAGCAAGAAATGGCCATCGTTGTCCAGGTTCTAGGTCTGAGACTCCAGAAACGTGAGAGAATAAATTTGTGTTGCCGTTCCATTCTCTCTCCACCCTCTCCCGCCCCCTCACTCACGAGTGCCTTCCTATTGTCATTATCTGGGGTAAATGCGGGCTCCCCTGGCTAACGCAGCACAAGGGCCCCTCGTAGGGGGGCAGTCCCAAGTGCTGATGTCCACAAAGGTTCCTGTGGGTGATTGTCAAAAGCGGTGTCCTCTTGGGGGGAGACAGCAGGAAGCGTATTCTGCCCCACTTTTAGTTACCAACAACTGGATCTTGTTGTCTGGGTCTGTTATTTCAGGGCTGTGCGTTGGCCTGGCCGCGAGAAGGCCTGGAGCCTTGGCTGCCGAGCCCTGTGCGTGTGTGTGCTGGCCGACGACCTGGGGAGAAGGGCAATGGGGGGGTGGGGGAGTTTGTCCCCTGGCCTCTGTCTGGGAGGGGGGGTCCCCTGGCTTCTGTTGGGGGGTTGACCCCTGGCCTCTTATCTGTGTGTGTGTGTGGGGGGTCCCCTGGCCTCTTGGGTCTTTTTCTGTCACTGTGCCAGGAGACTTTTAGCCAGGAGGACCCCATGTACCACTTGCCCACCTAGAACATTCTGGAAAAGCAGCGTAGACTATGAATGTCTTCCAGAAACAGGCTGGTTAGTTGCTAGTTAGGAGAAGGTGACTTTCAGCTAAGTTTAAATTGTGGTGAAGATGAATGCATGTTGCTTCAGGCCTACTCACTGCCACCTCCCTGTGACACTAAGTAAAAGAAACAACACTGAGAAATGTGAAGCCCGTCTGGTGCCCAACACAGCTCTGGCATCGACACCCTGAGCAACCAGTGGGCATCCTGACCGAGTGGCCGACCACCCCCCTGGAGAAGGCCAGGTGCCATCACAAGTACCAGCTGCCAGAGTTTTGTCGCCGTCACTGGACAGTGACCTTGAAAGGGTGGCAATGGCAGGTTGTTGCCTCTGGAGCGAGACTGCATGGGCTTGAACCTGGTTCCGAAGCTTAGTGGCTATGGGATCTTGGGAAGATGGTTTGGATTTCTTCAGTGTGTCCCCTCACCCGCAGAATGGGGGTAATCCTGGTGCCTCTGTGTCATCGTCACTATTGGCACCTAGTCAGTGCTTTGTAAAGTCAGGCATTCTCACTGTTCGCCGCTGAAGGTTGTTGGTCAGTAAGAAGTAATCTGAGGCCTGGTGACCTACGCCACCAAGAGGCATCCGGCAGCCTGGGCAAAGCAAAGCAAAGGGCTGCAAGGGGCCAGACAGGCGCAGATGCAGGCGGGGAGTGGCCTCAGGAACCAAGGGGCAGGGCCAGCTCTGACCACTGCCAGCCCATGTCACTGCTGTGACCCATTCAGGGACAGCATCTGCCTGGCCCCGTTGGAGTCCACGCCCTTACCTGGTGGTGCGTCTTGACAGATGTTCAGGGGGGAAAGTCCCACAAAGAAAACCTGGAGTGCTTGTAGCTGAGGGAGGGGGTGCTGTGCAGACACCCAACGGTACAGCACCCAGGGTCAGCCGCACCTCTGCCCGTGACACAGCCCAGACACGCTCAACCAGGCTCTTCCGTGCTGTACGGGGGGCCCAGGGGCAATACCAGGGGTGCAGCTTCCCTGTCCCCACTTGGTGCTGTAGAGGGAGGGCAGGCCTGGGGCGCTGGGACAAGGCTCGAGGAGTGGGGTCCATTTCCATGATGCCGCCTTGCAGGGAGCCTGGTCTCTGCAGGGAAAGGGGATGGCTCCCTGGGCCCTCCCAATGGGACTCAGCAAACATCACATGCTGGCAGCCGAGGGGCCAACTCAGGAGGCCCCTGCATGGGTTGTGGCAGCATGCATTCCCTCACTGGTGAAATTAAACTGTCAGATGATTCTCACCCAGGTTCACCGTTCAAATAGAGACCTGGGCTGCGTTTAAATGATGAAAAACGGCCATCCTGCAGTCCTGACTGTGGTCAGTAATTCAAATGTCATTAAGTTAACCAGATTACTGTGCCATTCAGCGAAGCCCAACTACCCAAATGAGGCGTTTATGGGTGTTCGTTAGCACACGTTTGGGCACCTCTGCTTGCATGGAGTGTATGAAAGCTGCCCCTGCTCGCCCTAAAGCTCCCCTCGAGCCTCCTTTAGGAAGCCGCCCTGCTCAGGTGGAGGAGACCCAGTGAGCATTTCCGATGCAGCCTTCCTTCCCCCTGAAGGAGAGCGCCGGTGGGGCACTGCAGGCGCTGTCCACGGGAGCCCTTCTCCCCAGTGCACACTCCCCACCCCATCCGGTCCCCCACAGCGGTGCAGTTCTTTTCAATAGACCGAGAGGCCCAGCTGTCCCATTTTGAACACTCGCTGCTGGTTCTAATCAGATGTCAGGGATCGCGGCCAACTGATGGAGTCCAGAGCACTGACTGATACAGTCAAAACCACGTGTCGTCCAGTAGGTTGGTCACTACTCAGCAGCATTCAAAGCCACTGAGCTGGCGGAGGGACTAGGTCAGGCTCCCCAGACCTGACTGACTTCAGCCATGTCCTGCGAGCACCACTCCCCTCCCGGCAGACAACAGGCCTGTGGAGGGAGATGTGCCCCAAGGGCTGTTTGGCCTTGAAAGCATTGGAGAGTCATTCTTTGAGCTGTGACTGCAGATATGTTCTTACTGTGAACTGTAAGACTGCACCGCAGACGCTATGGGCATGCATCATGAATATTAGAAAGTATGACAATACGGATTCAATAATTTTATGAGCAGAAAGGCCCAAAGCGTAAATACGTGTAGGAGACACCCTCTATCTAAAGGGCTCAGGGAGTAAGCACGTGTTTGATTGTCTGAATTCTGTGCACCTGGTGGATAGGTACGCGTATATGTGTGCCTTTTGCAGCATTCAAACGTCCTTGACACGCAAGAATGCAAACACCCTCACATGTCGGGGACAAGCACTGGGATCCCTGTCGTGACCACCTACCTGGTAGCACTCAGTAAAGAGCCATCCATGCACAGGCTTCTTTTCAGACCAGAAATCTGGGCTACCTCAGGCTGAGTGCTGGAGCCTGGCCCTGTCTCCCCTTTCCTCTCCTCCCCTCCCCACTTTCCCTCCCATTCCCCATCCCTTGCTCCCTTCACACGTTCCATTTCTCTGCCTTTAGCTTCTGTCCTATCTGCAGAGCTAAGGCCTGTCGCTTGTGAGGCACAGCCCTGGACTGATCTGCTGGTCAGAACAAAGGAGCTGCCCACCCTCTCCTGGGCCATCTGTGGGTTCAGTGCTGCTTCCCTGTGCCTTTGCCTCTATAATGTCCTTACCTTGGGTTTTCCACTTTCTTGGGGTGTTTCCTCTCCAACTTCCCTTTGACACTGTCAGAGTCCTGAAGTTGGGGCACTTGGCGAAGCAGGGCTGGTTTAAGAAGCACTGTCAGCCAGAGCCAAACAATGAAAGAAGGAACAGTCCCTGGGCCTTTCTAACCACAGCCCAGAAAGCAAACAGTCCTCCAGGATGCAGGCTAGGAGGGGGCCCGGACTCCTCCAGCTCCTGCACTTTGCCCCTGTGGGGCCCCAATGCCTCCCTGTCGTCATGGGCACAGTTAGGCAGGCTGTGGTCCTAGCAGAGCTGGTTTCCTTGGCAGCACGAATGTAGTGACTGTCGTTTGGTTGGGTATTTGATTATTTAGAGCCTCATGTATCACAGAAATGCAGTGAGGGTACCTTGTCACAGGTCCTTCGCATCACAAAGTGACATCATTGAACAGAGTTGTCCCCCTGCCCTCAAGCTTCCGAATCACCTCACAGCCTGTCATGAAGGAGCTTTAGCTTCCAGTCCATCTTGATCTTTTCTTTTTCCTGTTGTTTCTGTCACCAAACTGATTACCAGTCACCTGTCCCCCCAGACCTCTGAGGATGGATACCCATCAGCTGCGCCTCCGCCTTCACAGACAGACATGGATCTCACACCCCAAGCCCACATCTGGGGTAAGCCCTGGTGCTCACATTGTGGTTTGTGGGGTGCAGGGATGGAGCTGAGGAATGACTCAGCCTTTCTCAGAGCCTGCGAATGAATCATCTAATTGATGAATTCCACTCGATGCATCTCATTTGCTTTGAGGTGGGAGCAGCAGCACGCTGCTAACCCCAGTCTGGCTACTAAGAATTACCCCATGAGTAGAGCCCAGGCCTCCTGCAGAGACCCCTCCCACCCTTTCCCCCAGCCCACTGGCCACCTTCTGTAGGGTCTGCAGATGGGACCTGCAGCAGCAGAAGCAAACATTGCTCTGTTATCTGTGATGATTGCTGTTGTGTCTTGGGGTGAGGGGGGCCATCCCCATAGAGCTGCGGTGCTTTCTCGGGCGGGGGGGGGGGCAGTCCCCTGGGCCTTTTGGTCAAAGATAAGAATCCCCACCCAGCTGCCTGCTACACCTGACAGAGGGAGGAACTTGGGCCCAGGGACAGAGGGTGTTGAGCAGGGTGGGAAGAGGGAGGGACTTCTCAGGGAGGCACTGGTCCTCTGGGGACCGTGACTTGAGAGAGGACAGGAAGTGTGGGACTGTGAGGCCCAATATTCCATCTGACTGTGGATGGGCTGGTCTGTGGGCTGGGCCTTGCCATCACCCCCAACCCTGAAGCCTGCATAGGCCAGCCTTGTCCTGGGTGTAAGGGGCACGGAGGGGGTGGCCACGTCGGCTGGCCGATGAGGGCCAGGCAGTGAGGGGAAATTCACAGGGACGGCGGGAACAGGCACAGTGGGAATGAGCTGACCCTGGGCAAACAAGAGCTACAGAAGTCAGGGTGCTCCGGTCACTGATAAACGCTGAAGCAGCTGGGGAACTGGAACTCCCAGGTGGGGGTTAGGGGCCCCAGGTAGGGCCACACAAGATGACAATGACAGCAATGAAGGAGGGGTGGGCCTAGTTAGGATGTGAGGGACACACACCACACTCACACATCCTCACACACCTGCGCTTGCTCTGTTTGACACGTTGTCAGCCTGCACCTCACACACACAGCCCCTCTGACGTCTAACCCCCACCCCCCAAACTGTGCCCAAATCATTAGGAAGTCAAGTCTCCTGGGGAG